CTGGGAGGGGGGCTGCAGGAAGGGGCCTCGCAGGTCTGTGTGGGCTGCAGCCAGTGCAGCTCCCCTTGCAGCCCTTACAGACCTCAAAAAAAGGGGGGGTGAAAATACAATATAGTGTGTGCACGTTGGGGTGCAGTCCATCCCTCCCTCTGCCTGGGGGACACAAAGAAAAGCTGAGCACAGCAAGTGCCCCAGTGCTCATCACCCCTTGCAGAGGGCCCAGGCACCTCAGAAAAAAAGGGGGGAAACATACCCTTACAACAGCTCCTAAACAGCTCACACCAAAGGGGATGCTTGGCTGGTCTCATATTCTTTCTGGAGAGACCTGAATTATCCTGGTGCTGCGCGTCCCTGTGAGCTTCCTGCCCTTCAGCCTCCGGGTGTGAGTGTTTGTGTGAGGCTGAAGGAGGGGGACGTTGTGAAAGTGTGAGAGCAAATGCAGGGACAACCTCTCCCTGTCTTTCGAGGAGGACTAGCTGCGTCTCTGGCATAGTCCGGCATGCTGGCTGCCCAGTAAAACCAGCTGGCCAAGAAGGAACACGACGAAACTTGAAGTGCTTCAAGGAGCAGGCAATCAGAGCACGTTACGTGATGCCCAGCCTTCTCAAAGCTTCACGTTTCCTAAAAGCAGTTCCCTGAAAAGCCTCCCGCAGCAGCCTCTCGCTCAGGTCCCCAGCAGAAGGTGACTTCAAGGACTGCAGGCTCCTTCCTTCTTCCCTCTCATTCCCATCCTCTTCCCCCTCTCCTGTTCCCTGCTCCCCACTCCCCTTTGACCCTCATCCCCCCGTCACAGACCTATTCCGTAGCCGCTGGCACACTGCAGCTTCAGGTGGCTGTTGAGCTGCGTGGGCAGCGCGCACTGGCCCTGCATCTCCCTGCAGAGATGAAAGGAGCCGCTCCAGGTGCCGTCCTTCCGGCAGTGAATCACGTTGCTTCCACGGCCCTGGGAAGGAGAGAAGGAGAGAAGGAGGATGGTCACAAAAACAGCAACGAGGACAGGCCGGGTGGTGAGAAGAGGGCAGAGCTGAGCTGGGAGCAATGTTCTGCCGGAGCTGGGAGAGCCCCCGTTAGGGCTGTCAGCCTCGGGGGCAAGAAGGAGTTTTATTCCAAAGAATAATAAACAAATGAAAGCATACAAACACCCCCACAAACCTTTTCTGTGCAATGCAATGGCTTTACAAGGTCTCTACCTTAAAACAGACCCCCTCTGGTTGCAATAAAGGTGCATTCACCCCATTTGCCTTCTCTGCTGCTGTCGAGAGGTTTGCACTGAATGCAGACCACCTCTCCCCTCTTCCCATTTTCTAACTGGTTGCATCGTCTTTGTCTCGAAAAGGAAAGAATCCCCAATGGCCCTCTGAAGGAGGAAGGAGAGCAGGGATGCTTAGCAGGGCAGAACGTGCTCTTTAGAGCTTGGCTGCCTTGAGTGACAGCGAGCGAAGGGGCTGAGACAGACACACACCGAGGCAGGTGGAAAGGAGGAAAAAAAAATCCTCTGGTGTGGGAATGGGCAAGGAATAGAATATGACATTTCTCTTACAGAAAAGATTCTCTCTCTGATACTGAAGAATGAATACCAAAGTCCGAGGGGAAATATCATGCCCTTTAGAAACAACAAAGGAGGGTACAGGCAATCTTTTGTCAGATCTATCCTCATGGCATTGGGGATTTCTGCACAAGCTGTTCTGCAGGATCTGCAAGCCCAGCTGCCATGGGGCAAACGTGGGACATTCCACAGGAGGATGGCTGGGGTGGCTGGGCTCCAAACCTCCCGCAGGGGGGCCTTGCTGGGTGGGAGAACCATGAAGGATCTCTGCTTCTCCTCACTCCTTTTACATCCTTTTACATCCATGCAATCAACCCAGCCTGTTCTTGGAGATCTTTGGGGATCCTTTGGGGTGCTGTCTATGCTGGGATCTCAGCAGGGTTGCTGAACTGTTCCTAGGAGCTCTTCCCCACCTCCCACACCCGTTGTGGCACAGCACAAGCCCCTGGTACTGGCATGGAAGACTGTGCAGCCTTCAGTCTTAGTCTCCTCCTCAATAGCCCAATGCTTTTTTTTTTTGCTCAGCTTTGTTGACGAACACAATGTTTAGTGAGATGCAAAGTGGTCTTATCAGCAGACTACTGCGTGGGACCTGCTTCCCCTTCTCTAGACATCTGGCCATTGCCAGAAGTAATAAGAAAATCATATGAAAGGATAATGGACCAGATGGACTCAGGGTGTGATCCAGCTTGGTGACTCTCACCTAAGGGCCAGTTTGGCAGAGACTGATTAATTTAGATCTGACTGTTTATATGATTTGTGCACAATATTCAGAAATGGAAGACCCTTGCTCTGGGTGCCAGGGGAGGAACCTGCTTAAATGACCATTACATTCCTGGTGATTAAGAGATGCCATATGTACAGCTGAGTAATGATCTTGCAGCGTGGTGACAAATACAGGAAGAGATCGCTAAGTGATAATTGAGCACAATTTGCTGTTCTAGCAAGTGTAGTGCACTTCCACTGCAATTTGCATGCCAGGGTTAAAACATGATTTTTAAAGGTGAGCCATGAAACCTGATTTATGTTCCTGGAGCTGGCTGGGCTTGAGGATACTATTGTATAGTTTCTGCAACATACCCAGAGATCCCAGGATATCCATTGCTATAGTAACATACTGTCCATCACTCCCTGACCTGCAAAATCTCTTGTGAAAATCCCTGCTGGGTTTCTTGCTTGGATGCAACGTGCATTATCACCTTATATAGCTGAGAGAGACTTAGTGGAGTTTAATCCTTAAATAATTAACACCTCTCAAGTGGTTCTGCCTTGTGCCAGGAGCCCTCCTTCTTTTCCTGCAGTCTACTTTCTGCGATATCTGGAAATACCTTTTTCTGCAAATCCCTTTCTCAAGATGTTATCTGCTCCTTTGCTCAAGGTGCCTTCACAGCTGGACAGTCACTGCTCCCTTCCTGACAGTGAATAGAGACATGGCTGTATCTCTCACTCTCCAGAGCTCACCTCATTATTGCTGTAACCCTGACTCTCCTGCTTGCTTCCTCTTCAGCTCATTTAAAAGCAAACACAGCCCGGTTACACCAGTTGTCATTGCCCTGGTGGCCCCAGTTGCCCTGCATGGCCGCGATGGTACGTGTCTTCTCCACGCTGACCAGCCCCAGCAAGTGGGAGATGCACAAAGCTCTGGGAGATGCATCCCAGGGCTCCCACCCAATCTGCACCCATGGGTGCTACTTCTCATTTCACAAGGCCCATAACCTCACGTCCGACTTAGAGAAAGAAGCCTTTTCCAGGTGCCCTGATGCCAAACCACATGGCTCCGCTGGTTGTCCCTATGAAGAAGACAGGCCAACCTGCCAGGGAATAGGGGCAGCAATTGGCTTTTAATGTTTGGAGCAGGCATCAGAGGTGTCTTGCAGGTCACTGGCCCTAGGGAAGGGCTGGTCCATTTTTAATATGTCCTCAGAATTTGGAATGACACAAAAAGGCCTTTGCCAGAGCACTCCCTGCCCTCTGCACTGCGTGTAGTAGCAGCAGCTTCTACAGCCCCACTTTCTCTTCCCAAGCGTATTCAGCAGCAGCAGCAGCAGCACTTCTGGGAGAAGTTACTTATCTCACAAACTATAATTACCTCTGGTGAGGACAACTAAGCATTTCAAACAAGATACTGAAGGCCAGACCTTCCCCTATCAGTGAACACAGCTCCTGGGAAGCCAATGGCAACACACTGATTTATGCCAGATGAGAATCTGACCCTTGATGCCAAATGACACCTTCACAGCCAGAAAAACATGAAAGGTTAGAGACAGTTCACCTGAATAGTTGTAATCCCTATAAAGTTAAATTATCCTATGGCACACATACATATAATGACAATGAGAAAAGAACTGGGGAGAAAAGCAAGGTAAAATGAAAGGAACAAACAGCACAAGTGTAGGTAACTCATATCCTACTTACTTTCATTCATGACTCTTTATTTTTTGCTAGATTTTCTAGCAGATTTTTCACTCACTTATTGTCCGGAAAGAGTAAGTTCCTCACTGCTAGTCCTCCACGGGCAATAATTAATACCATTACTACTATCATGAAAGTAATATTTCCAGGCTCTTCACGGTAGTTCTCTCCCTCTCCTTTAATTATGTCTTTCCCTCTTCCATTTCTCTGTCTCTGGTCTCAATGGCACTCCGTCCTTCCAAGATCAGGGTCCTTAGGGAACACCTCCTAAAACTGCGCTTGTATGGGGCTGAGATAACCCGGGCAAGAGAGACTCACCGACTGATTGTCATCATCTTCACACTTGATCCGACACTCGCTGTTGAACTGGAAGCCATTGGAGCACTGGTAGAGCCCATGAAACTTGGAAGGTGGAGGGTCACAGGTAACGGGCACGCAAGCGCCCGGCAGCCACGTGCCGTCTTGCGTGCACTGGATCTTAAAGGCTCGCCTTTTTGTGCAGGAAAAAAAAACAACAAAACAAGACCATTTAGTGAGTGGCTGAGTCAGCTCGGAGCCTCCAAAGCCTCTGAGCTCTGGTAGCAGGTTGCAGGGGATGGGCGTGCTTGAGCTTTTAACACTTGGGGAACAAGTCGTGAATCTGCGTCATGAGGTCTCGGAGCGAAAATAACGATTATTTGCAAAGCCAACATTGAGCTGCCCAGCCTAAACTCCTCTTTTGGCCTTGGACACGTCTCCCAAAAGCTCCGCTTCCCAGGCTTGTGGGCTGTGGTTGGTTTGAAGTGGGTTTGTGCAGAGTCAGAAGTATATGATAGCACTAACCCTTTCCTGCAGCGTTTCAAAGGGGACTCCCCAGGCTGAATATCAAAGGGGTATTTCTAAGGTAAGGCCTGTTTTTTGAGCACTGGTTAGGATTTTCAAAGAGGCCTGAGTGAGCTGGGTGCCTAAATCCCCTTGAAACCACACAATTATCTCCATGAAGGAATTGCTTGGTGACATTCCTTACAGCACATACAGCCTGTTATAAACAGCCCATCCCTTTCCCCAAATCATTTTAACCCATGGCTCTCTGAGTCACGCTGACCGCACGGTGTTACTCCTTCACGTACTTTCTTGCTTTTCTGGAGGATCCAGGGACATGGTAACCTGGTTTGCATTTGTACTTGCAAAAGGAGCCCACTTTGTGCTTATCTTCTCGGCAACGACTAGTCTGGAGATCCGCGTTGGGGACGACGGATGGTGCTCGACACATCAGCTCGCACAGGGCCTCTGGAAAGGACCACAGCCCGTCCTCCATGCAGGTCAAGTTGCTGTTGTTTCCTGAGAAGAGCAGTGAGCAAAGTTAACAACGTTCAGCAGGACTATTTTTTTTCGAGATGTCGTTACACCCATAATACATCAAAAGCCACCTCAGCTGGTTTGACAAATTCAACTGCGTATGTCCTACGCGTTTTCTCTCTCTAGATGATGGCATTAAATCATTAAGGACTCTGTTTTCAGATGACAGGCAGACAGTGCTTATTTCAGGAAATGCTATAGCATAGGGGAAACCACACTGGTTTTGTAATCTTTTGTATTTCTCTTCCTTATTTTGTTCTCCTCTGAAAGGAAGCTCGCTTCATACATCAACCCCCTCCTCTCCAAAGTCATGGCATTAACAGAGGGTTTGGTGCCATTACATTCTTCATTCTGCTTCTGTGTTATATCTCTTCCCTGAATCTGTCCTTTTCTTTTTCCGATTTTGAGCCTTTTGGAGCAGCATCTGTTAGTATTAGAGTCACTACTCCAACACAATGAGGAGCCATTCTCAGCTGGGGACTCTCAGTCCTTGGGGACTGGTGTGATAAATACGATTCATAATACTCATTAGAGACTCATTTTCCTTAGGAAGCTTTCTTGGCCAGCACCTCAAAGGTAAAAGGTACAATAGATCTATTTGCCTCTGCTATGACCTACTTGACTTCAGAAGGTTAAGCTAAAAGTAGCCTAGTCTCAGTGTATTTCACATTCTTTGTTATTTTATGCCGTATGTTGAAAAGGAATAAGCTTTTCCTAAGAAACAAAGCGCAGCTATGAGCCACTAACCCTTCAAAAATCCCTAATACTCTATTGAAATCCCCGAGCATTGCTGCAGGAACTCTTCTCAACCCACAAGGCATATTTTCGACAGCAAGCCAACTTCGGAGTTATCCAAAATAATACCGTCAAACTGCTAACCCCAGAGCAATGCCATCTCTCTGAGAGGGAAGGAAGAGAGCCGGGGCACGAGGCTGGAATTCAAAGAAGAAGAAAACAAAAGGCTCTGGAGGGCTCAGGGAGGTATGTGGAGGAGCCCTCCTGCCCTACCCACGAAGATAAGAGAAGCTGCATTAAATCAGCCCTGATTTTCTCCCTCCCCTCCCCGACTGCAGAGGATCGCAGAGGGATTTTGTGCAGAAGGGAGCTCTTTTCTAGAGCACCAACGTGCTCCTCTGCTCTGACTCATGCAGCAGCTCTGCAGACCAGCCGTGGTGATATCATACTTGCCACTGCAAAGTGATAAGCTGTGACATTACCAACAGTGGCTGTCATGACGTCAGTGATTGAATTAGGCATGAGTCATCCCAACGCCATTCTCCAGAAGCTTAGTGGCAACATCTATTAGTCATCACCGATGGCTGTACACCAAATGCTGCCTTTACCTCACAGCTCACAGAGTTTCTGGACAAAAGTGAAGTGATGCTACACCCCACAGCTGCCCACCCTGACCTGGGGGTTGGGCATCATCCCTCCAGTGACCCCCACCGGAGTCATCAGCTGAAGCTCGTGCTGGTCATGATGAATATTATCATTTTCACTGCCCCTTCAAAAAAATTCCAGGCATTTTCAAGGCAAAAAACACCCCTTGTTGAAGATGACCCTCTGAGTGTATGAACAGAAAAAGGGAATTCTTTGATAAAAATCTCCCCTTTGACCAGTCCTAACTTTCACTGTGTGTTGGCTGCTGTGTGGTTACCCTCCTAAGTCGGAGTTAAAAGAATTAAGCAATTTGGTTATATATGAAGAAATCAACATACCCTTTCACTGAAATGAAGAATACTCCCCATGTCTCTGCTGGGGTTTGCAATGAATCCTGGCAGAAAAGGTGATACCACATGTACAAAAAAAGCTTACACAGCGTTTGTACCTGAGCTGACAACAGCAGTGAAGATTACTCCACTGCAAGATGACAAGTTAATTTGGCTCTAATGTTCCTTCAAATTAACAATGATATCTTTTCTTGTTTCCTGAGGACCATACCAAAAAGGCTAATGTGGCAGTGAGCAGAAGAGTCAACGGTGCTGAGATGATGGGGACACTAGCAGAAAAGCAGCAGGGAAGAAGATGGGGAAGAAAAGGAAAGAGGGCAGCAGAGTGTGTTATTTTTAAGAAAAAAAAAATAAAATTGTACAGAGTCCCAAACAAGAAGAGGAGAGAAAGGTCAGAGGTAGAGCAAGATGAGTGTGGAAAGGAGAAAGGTGATGGATGAATTAGGAAAAACAGTGACAGGGGAATGTGCCACTGGGACACGGGACTTCAGTCTTCTCCTGCCTTTCCAAATACATGGAAGAGGCATGGAAGGGAGACAGACACAGAAAACAGAGAAGGCATGAGAAAGAAGATGAGAGACTTCAATTTGATTTATCCCCATGACTTTTCCATGTTTTGGTTGTATGGAAGCAATATTCACTGTCATTACTGCCTGGCCAGCCGTGATCAAGGAAAGGTCAGAGGAAGGTAATAGAGAGATGCAAAGGAACTTAACTTCTAATATAAATAAACCTTCCCATAGAGTCTCATAATTCTTCATACTTAAAATATCATGAATAATTCTAAAACAACAGCAACAGTACCATATATTACTGGGAACAGTCTGTCAGCGGGGCGGCTACCCCCAGGTCACTGCACAGACACCCGCCAATACCTTTCAGAAGAGCTGGAGGCCGGCAAGTGAAGGAGCATTTCTTGCCAAAGGTGGTCCCCTCGCTGCAGTTGAAGGTAGCAGGGTAGACATGGTACTGGTCTGGGACACCACAGTCCACGGGCTCGCAGGTCACCTGCTTGTTCCACTTCCCATCCGTGCAAGTCATGGTGATGCTGGACTCCGTCTGGAAAAAGACACATGCCTACAGCCACCACAGCCAGCAAAACCATGTCAAGCCTAATAACAGCCATTAATTTGGCTCACAAGTCAAGCAAAACTGAGTGTGATCACTACCATCATCATTTGGACAGGGGCTACTGAAAACACTGAGGTCCCACAAGAAACCAGGGGAGAGAACCAGGATGTATTTCCATCACCTCTGGTCTGAGACACCAAAGTGCTTCAATATAAGGAGTGGAGCACTACAAATAATCTGAGCTCTTGTCTGCGTTGCCTCCCAAGACACGCCGTGAGCCTCGTGCTTAGAAAAGAGTTCACAGGTCTGAGCTGTCTGGAGCTGACAGCTATCCCTCATCCCCATCACCTTTGCAGTGACACAGCCCCTCCGAGGGGATCCCCACGTACTTCGGAGCAGTCAAACTCACTCTTGGGTTTGAATAAAAGCCAACTTGATGTGAACCCATTCGGGACTCCCATCCGAGGCTCTCCCAAGAGGTGTCAGTCACCCCTGGACTGGGGAACCAAGGGAGGTGGCCTGGGCCACGTCAACATTGTGTTCAGATCCTGACAGCTGGTGGAACAGCTTCTGCTCTCAGAGTGCCCCGAGGGTCCAGATGAAACTGGGGACCTGCTGCCCTGGCACCAGGGACACGCATGCCGGAGAGACAGACTTCTGCCTGGTGGAGTTTGCCATGGATGGACCCAAGAGCATCCTGCCAACAGGTTCACTTGGCACTTGAGGGGTCCGAGTACAGCGTCAGTGCCTGTGCTCTGACGTCCCTAATGTCACTCTACCATCACAGCTACACCGCAGCTACGCTTCTGTGGATTTGAGGAATAATCCAAACAACGCAGCAGATTGAAATCCTGAAGTGCTAGGGAGAGAGGAAAAAAGGGGGGGAGGTAAAGGAGCCATCCTCCCAAAGCCAAGATGAAGAATTTACAGGGTGATGGGAGGACAAACAGATGTTGGCAAAGAGAACAGAATAAACAATGTATCCACTTTTTAATTAAAAAGGAAAAATTATTAAAAACCAGAATTAAAGAATCTGAAAGTAGGACTCTTGCCTCCATACCAGAATAAGGAGGGGGACAGAGGAAAAAGAAATGTGAGAAACCCCAACAGGAGAAGGGGAAGATAGCGGTGAGGAATCTGACCAAGCCGTAGAGCAGCGCTCCTCTGCCTCCAGGGAATATTTTATTCAGGGCTGGTAGGCTCACAGGAGACCTGCACCGCCGACCATTGATCTGGGTTTATAAAGGGAAGGGGAATTTTTCTAGCACACATCAAAGGGACCTGGATTCCCTTTTTGCAAAAACACCCTAATGGTTTCAACAGAAGTTCAGACCTGTCTCCCTTTGATATATGGTTGCATTCAGAATGGAAAAAGCAGTCCCAGAGCTGAGAAACTGGACACTTCCCAAGTGGGCACAAAACCCCTTTCTAGACTGTGGAGTTTATTTAAACAGGGAGCACTGCTGATGGAAAAAAATGTCTTTTATACAAATTGAGAGTAGCACATTCCGGGATTCTCAGAGCGCTCAGGTGAAGTGGCACTCTGTGTTCTCATTCCCAATCATTTTGCTCTCCAGAGGCTATTAATTCTGCCTTTGTTGCTTATCAGATTATTCGCTCCGTTAAAAAGTAGACAGATATTCATATTCTGTGGACAGTTGACGGCTTGAAGCTACCTGTGCTTGCAGGAAGGTGCGGTGTGATGGCCGGAGGAGAAGGGATGACACAGAATATTGCCATGTCCTCACAGCTCACACACACAGCAGCATCACCACCACATTTGCACTCCAGGCTGGGCTGCTCCAGCCTTCAGCAAAGCCTCCATTGCCCTTAGCAGATGCTATCAGCAAATAACACTCTGCCACTGTGGCTGCTGTGCACCTCCACAGCAGGAGGTTAAAACATAAACCCAAGGTATTGATGACAGGGGCTACCCAAACGTTATGGAAAAGACCTGGGTCTTGCACTGTATCTTGCTGGATCCACGCTGAGCACGAGGAAGATCTACCGGCGCCAAGAGATTCAACTCAGAGAATTCAAGAATTCAGTTCTTAGCGTTGGTGTGATCTAGTTTGGGAATGAGTGATTGCTCCTGCTGGCTGGCACAGTATGGTGCACAGGGGAGTTTCTCTAATGACAGGGCTGTGCGTCAGTCGTAGCTCTACATAAATAAACAGTGCAAATTCAGAATCCACAATATAAAACCCAAATTAAAACAGAAGCAGTATCTGTGCGTGACAGTCACACCTCAGAGAAGACGGGCAAGAACGTTTTGCCCAAGCTAACACTGAGGGTATTTCAGCTGCAGATGTGGTCTTTGTTATCAGGAAGCTCCAGGAGGACACTCCAGCCTTCTGGAAATGCAATGTCATCCCCGCTCGGAAGGGATCCCTCCTTAGAGCCAGACTCCCACTGCACTTTATTTCCATCCCTGTTCTAGATCTTGATGTGAAAAAAACGAGTTAAGTCTCTCCACGTTTTCATCTCTGGATTTTTCCCCATGGTACTTTCCCAACAAAACCACTGACCAAATCTGGAAGAGTCACCTCCTTCCAGACCCATATGGCTTTTCCTCTTCCTGGCAAACTGGTGAGCCCCTTCCCAGGCAGAGAAGCTGTGCCCATCAGGGTAAGATCCTGGCTTCTCGGCTTTTTCCGGTAATTTGTTCCACACTTTGTAGGATGGAAGCTGAGGTTTTCAAGGTCAGACATAATAATGGCACATTTTAAACCATGTTCTATCATGTCATCACTTCAAGCAATAGGAGCACATGCGTTTCTGCAGCAGAACAGAAGAGAGAACGTTCCCCACAATGGAGACAAAGAGTAGTGGGGCTTTGATTGAAAGCACCGAGGAGAACCCTACCATGGAAATGGATGCAGATGGCACCCACCAGCTTTCAGCTTCTCCCTCTTGCAATGTCCCACCCGAAGGTGGGATGAGGGGCCTGGAGAACAAGTCCTATGAGGAGAGGCTGAGGGAACTAGGCATGTTTAGTTTGGAGAAGAGGAGGCTGAGGGGAGACCTCATTGCCCTCTACAACTACCTGAAAGGAGGGTGTAGAGAGGCAGGTGTTGGCCTCTTCTCCCAAAGGACGAACGACAAGACCAGAGGAAATGGTCTAAAGTTGTGGCAAGGGAGATTTAGATTAGATATTAGAAAGAATTACTTTACTGAGAGAGTGGTCAGGCACTGGAACAGCCTGCCCAGGGAGGTGGTGGAGTCACCATCCCTGGAGGTATTTAAGAAACGTATAGACATGGCTCTTCAGGGCATGCTCTAGTGCCCAAGGTTATTGGTTTATGTTTTTTTTTTTTTTGTGTGTGGTTGGACTCGATGATCTCAGAGGTCCCTTCCAACCACTAAGATTCTGTGATTCTATGACTGCGGTGCTCGGGGGCAGGACCCCAGGATGCTCAGCTCTCCCCAACGCCACCTTGGAGGGGGGGTTTTTGGTTGTTTTTTTTTTTTGTGTGTGGTTGGACTCGATGATCTCAGAGGTCCCTTCCAACCACTAAGATTCTGTGATTCTATGACTGCGGTGCTCGGGGGCAGGACCCCAGGATGCTCACCTCTCCCCAATGCCACCTTGGAGGGGGGTTTCCAATCAACTCAGCCTGAGCAGAGCCACCTCTGGACACGACACCGGGGCTTTGTGGCAGCATCTGCGCCTGCCCGTGCAGCTCTCCCACCCCGAGCCTGAGCAGGCACGTGCCCGTTTCGCCTGTCTGATCCGACAAGGTCACCCGGCTCACAGCAGTCCAGAGGAAGCACTTGGCTTTCTCATCTGGTTTATTAGCTGTCACTTTGGGCACTTCGTGCTGCCTTGACTGGCATCACAGCAACCGCTTCCCTTCATGTCCTGCCTCCCAAAAGCCGCTTACGCAAGGAGGGAGGGAGGCAGAGGAGGAGAAAAGAGGAGGGGGGGGATGAAAAAAAGGGCCTCCAAAGATACAGTGTGCAGCACAGTGAAGAGGATGCAAACTTACACAAATCTGGTGCCAGAAAGATTTGTTTCTTGGGACTTTTAACAGCTTGGGAGAATTCACGTCTCTTTCCTGCTGCCCAAGATCCCAGCCGGCTCCTTCTTCAAGCGATGCTTCACGTGTGAAGTTTCCTCTCCTTAAAAATGAACAGCTGTGCCCTCCCCTCTAAGTATTCTTCCACTTCTGCCCACTACTGTGTCTCTAATTGAACCCACATGAGCCGCGCTTTCTTTTCCTGGCATGATTGATGATGCCTTTGCACAACATTAGGGAGCTGCTGGGTTTTAAATAACACCTCTTGACCAGAGCAGCAGTGGTGGTAGCTTCAAGGAGAGATGACAACAAGCCACTGAATGAGCGGGGCTTTCAGTGAAGGACAAGGGGGAGGAAAGCAGTGAAAGACAAAGCGGGGAGAAGAGAAGAAAGAGCGATGGAGTTGTCAGGGGGGTGGGAAGAAATCGGAGGAAAATGAAAACATCCCGAGATCTTCTTTGTGAGAAAGATACATGAAGGGCTTTGCTCCATCACTATGCAAACCTTTTTTGTTGTTGTTGCTGTTGAGTCCCTAAATGAGGATGAGAGAGAGCCCAAGGGTCTGTAAACAGCTCAGCCTTTTTTTTTTAAAATTTATTTTCAAACAGCAAACAGTTTCTACTGCACATTAGTGTTGATGGTTTCAGGATTTGGTGATTTTATGGAGTTTTAACAGAATTTGGAAATGGGAGCTTCTCGGAGAACAGAGATGAATGATTTTTTTTGCCCTAAGACTGATTAAAATGGTGGCTTCAGAAGACACAGAGGCCAGAAAGTGCAGAAACTGTTACGAAGATTTTCAAAGACCCCTTAGATGTGAAAGATTGATTTGAAATGTGACTTATGCCCCCACATTTCTGAGATGCTTTTGAAAATTTTGCTTTTAATTCTCTGTTCACCCCTTTTTTTCTGCCTTTCAGTGAAATATGGAAGACAAATGCAGTTCAGATGCTAAACCAGGGTGTTTGTGCTGGTCTGCCAATCATCTTCATCATCATGCTGTGGTCATGAGCCACTGATGTTCTGTCTGCTCTTCGAGACATCACATCTCACCTCAGCCTTCTTCCTACCCAAGAGTGTGAAACATCAGCATGAGCAGAGCAACTTTCCTTCCTCCTCTTCCTTGTCCAGCCCTCCCCACTGTCAGTAAAATGAGAAAAAAATTAGCTCTAGACCCTAAAATCAGTCAATCAAGCAAAATATCCAACTAAATGACCACAGTGAGGCAACCAGCAGCTTTGTTCCTCAATCACAGCAGAAAGTCCTTCTGACCATCAATAACAACTCAATGCCCTATCTCACCTCCAAATGCTTGTGCTCAGAAGAGGAGCTGAAGCTGGGAAGCAATTGTGGAAGGAGCACAATGCAATTCAATACAACACAATACTAGGAATCCAAACCATGGATTTTGGACTTTCTTGGATAATTCATTTTTTGCCTACGTGTTCCACAAGATCTGTCTTGAAGCACCTGACATAAAGAAATATAACAAGCCGACAGCGAAAGAAACTGCCTGTTCCTTTTCAACAGATCTCCAAAGCACAATAAACTTTTAAAGCGTGTGTTTAATGTGCTTAGCTGAGTATGGATATCTTTAAGATGCTCCACTCCTTCCCTGATTTGAACAGTGAACACACAGCACTGAGCAAAACAAAGCCATTGGCCTCGGGGTTTTTATCAGTGGAAAAAAGAGGACGGAGCGCAATAGAAGAGCAGGGGGAGAGGGAGCGTGTTGTAAGAGGCAGTGAATCACAGCAGCTAAGGGTGCAAAAATCCTCCTCTCCTGTCATGTGAGTCTGATCAAGGCTCTGAAACCAAACTTCTCCCAGCAAAACCATATACAGTTGGCTGATTCCCCCCCCTCCCCAAAAAGGCACTTCTCCTATTTAAATAACACGGCGCTGGTGAAACATGTTTAGGCTGTTTTATTTGGTTTGGGATTCCTGTGTGCTCGATGTACAGCTCCCTTCCAACTCTTTCCTGGTTCAGCCATTCAGGCTCGTCCGAGAACTTGTTTTCTGTTCTGTAAAAATGCTCAGCTGGAGCTGGGCTTCTGGTGCTGATGCCAATTAGGATGGAAGAGGCCCAGCTCGCGGGGTCCTGTATTTGTTTTGTAATTGAGTTGAAAGGGCTGACTCATTCCCCTCCGTTCTGTCTCCCCGCTCCACGAGCTGATGGAGAACGTGGTATTTCACAAACCCAGGCAGGCTGTGAGCACGGCCACTGCCCCCAGCCCTACCCACCCCAGACATGTCTGCTGCCCCAAAAACCAGCAAGAAGGTGCTGATGGGGGAAACCACCCCCACATCGTGCTCAAGGCATCCAGCACCATTAGAGAGGGGAGGAGAAACTGGGGTGCTTGTCCCACACCCCTGCACCCCGTGCTCCCCAGGGCATCCCGAGGCTGGGACATGCTCCACATACACCCTTGGCCACCTCCCCCAGCACAAAGGATCTGCCTGTTTTGAATGTTTAAAGAAATGGTCAGTTTTCCTCAATACCCCACTCAACGGACTGAAACACTGCAAAGGAGTTAAGACCCAGTTAGCCTCAACCCGAGGAATAAGAATGAGGTATTTTGCCCAGAAACTGGTTTTGCAAAAAACCAATCACACCTTCCCCCGCCCCAAAAAAATCCAACCCAAGAAACACTGTTTGGCTGAGTAGAGCCAGTGAGATCAGAACACTTATTTCAGCCTTTTGGGTTGAAAATTTCTAAATTTAGGGAACACTTGAGATTTGACCACTGTCAGCACCTCCTATTCTGATGAGCAGTACTTGGATAAGGCTTTGTCCCAAGGCTGAGCTGAGATTCTGGGTTTTAGGCTGAGTTATCTCTCAATTTCTCCACATCTCTCTGCTCACCCCCGTATTGTGGGTCCTACAAAACCAGCAGAACAAACCTGGCTCTTGCTGAGCTCATCATCTCGATGGACTTGCAAAATGTAGCCCGTCCTGCAGCTCACGTTGCACTGGGCGCCGTTGAACCACCCGCCACCCGTGCAGTTCAGCACCGCGTTCTCGATCTCCAGCTTCTGGCAGTCGGTGGCTTCGCAGGAGTAGTGGACACAGCTGGGTGGGAGACAAGAAGTGGTATTTTTATTATACTCATTGAATTCACTCCACCAGAGGAAGTGTGTCTGACTGACAAACTCATGGCTTGCCAGGCAGCAGGTACACCGACTCCATACTGGACCCAACCCAGCCAAGGGCTCCTCACCAACGAGCACACCCTCCAGGTATATCTTCTGAAGGACAGGAACAGTGGTAATGGTGATGACAATGGAAGAAAATTACAGGTCTTGTGGCAAAACGGAAGAGCCTGCCAATTCTGCAGAATTACTTCTACAGAATATTACTCAATATTCAACCACACTGTGTCCTTCCTTCTCCTGTACCAACATCCATCCATCCATCCATCCCTCCATCCATTCCTCCCTTTAGGTACACCGACTCCATACTGGACCCAACCCGGCCAAGGGCTCCTCACCAACAAGCACACCCTCCAGTTATATCTTCTGAAAGACAGGAACAGTGGTAATGGTGATGACAATGGAAGAAAATTACAGATCTTGTGGCAAAAGGGAAGAGCCTGCCAATTCTGTAGAATTACTTCTACAGAATATTACTCAATATTCAACTACACTGTGTCCTTCCTTCTCCTGTACCAACATCCATCCCTCCCTCCATCCATTCCTCCTTTCATTGCTCCATCCATCCATCCATCCATCCATCCATCCATCCATTCCTCCCTTCATTGCTCCCTCCCTCCCTCCATCCATCCATCCCTCCATCCCTCCATCCCTCCATCCATCCATCCCTCCATCCATCCCTCCCTCCCTCCCACAAGAGTACTCTCCCTCCAAGAGCAGTCCTTATGCCCTGTCCAATTTTAAATCTCTGCTGAATTCAGGAGTGCCCGATATTGTTAGCGATAAGTGTGCATGTGAGGAGAGGTTTCTGTGATAGACACTCTTATCTTTGAGAAACTCGATTTAAATCAACACATTCATTTTACTCCCCTTCCCGAGGAACACCAAACATCAGCTGTGTAGCTGTGTTGATAAGCTCTTATCAAGCTCAGCAGCGTGCTGTCATTTCAGATCTCTCCGGTTGCTGCCCTGCCATCCAGAAAATGTTTCCCCAGATAGAAACTGTCTGCTCTCCCTTGTAACAGTTAGCACAACTTGTAAAAAGAGGGGTTTGTTTTATTTTTGTATACGCAGAGATGCCTGGTTGAGACAAAATCTTTCAGCGTCTTCGATGGCCTGAGTCAAACTTTATAGCACATGTTCCAATGTGACTATGGGCCAGTCCCTCAGCTAAAGGGCAATGAAAATGCTGAGAGTCTTAAAGCATGAGGGTAGATTTAGATTAGGTATTAGGAAGAAATTCTTTAGTATGAGGGTGGTGAAATACTGGCCCAGGTTGCCAAAAGAGGTGGGAGACGCCCCATCCCTGGAAACATTTGAGGTCAGGTTGGACAGGGATCTGAGCAACCTGATCTACTTGAAGATGTCCCTGCTCATGGCAGGGGGGTTGCACCAAATGACCTCTAAAGGTCCTCTCCAACCCAAACTATTCTATGTGCAAATACGTTTTCTGAACTAGAAACAAAATTTCTGCAGTTAAGGATTCCTACAGGGTGATACACCTCTGCTGGAAATTATAATTAATTTAAATTAAATACAATGAAATTAATTCACAGGAGGGAAAGCTTTCACCATTTATATGGGTAGGGGAGAACCTGAAACACAGAAAGCTACAGAAAGAAGGGAAAGCAATCCATCAATACACGTATTTTGAAACGGGTTACAAGCAAGCTATTCCCATCTCCTGGAAAAAGGGTTAAGAGCCACCCAGACACCACCCACCTTAGTAAGCACAGGACTTAGCGTGTACATGCTGTTTGGCGGCGTTCAAAGCATTGTGCAGACATTATCTAATTAATTTTCATGACACCCCTGTGAGACACCTGGGCTGGTATTGTTATCCCCCCGTCACTGATAGAGGAGCACATCTGCACATGTCTCTACTGAGCTCTAGATCAGATTAAGCGACAGCATTATGTCCCTCCACAACTCATTTCTCTGTCCCAGACTAGTGCTATATGGGAAGTGCCCACTGCTTGTAATTTAAGGTTGCTTGTTCAGTGACGGCCCTTCCCTGGAGTGCGATGAGCCATAAACAATTTCTACACTCAGAAAGATCTTATTTCCTCATTGTGCACAAAGTATTGCTGCTGACAGGACCGAGGAAGGAGAATTCCACCTCTGTGTTGGCCAACCCCATACCCTTGTACACAACAACCAGCGGCCTGTCTGTCAGCACTATGACTGTGATGCTCATTACTTCTGCAGAACGGATGGTCCTCTGCCAGAGATGACCTACACCAAGGGATCCTGCCTTCAGCAGGATCTCCCCCGTCCCACACCAAGGGTTTCACACGTTTCCCAGTCACTGCAGCTCAAAGCCTGACACACAAATTTAAACTGCCATTGATTTCCCTTTGTACTGATCAATAAGACTATGGATGAGATGGTGGAAGAACAAATGGATGGTATATCCTAGTGCCCAGGTGGTCTCCTCTTGGGGAGAAATGAGGTGAGGAGAATGTGCTATCTGCAACTGCTTTGTAAATGCCCACCCAGGAGCAGGAACCACAGGCCACAGACATACCATGGCTCCCCGAGCAAAGCAGCACCTTACTGACCTCACAGCACTGCTAATTGAGTAAGTCACCAATTAACATTAGCAAGACTATCTGAACAGGGATGGTGAGTGAGAGTGTAAATGATGAGTGATGTCTTGCCGAATCCTCCCTACACGTCCCAGCTACGTATACCCACGGAGGCTGACCATCACTTCACCTCCCTCCCATTTTCAGAGGCTGAGGCTGCAACGCGAGTTCCTCCCGTGCCAGGGCTCCAGGGATGAGGGAAGTTGACTCAGTGAGGAAAAAAGGGAGCACCGTTGCCAAGCCATTCTCAGAAGTACCCGTTGAGAACCTTGACTGCCCATTGTAAAACGCCCGCAAAATCTGACAACCGTCTTGCTTTGAAGTTGGAAAAATAAAATAATAGCAGACCTACTTCATTTAGTGTCTTACGTGAGTCAATGTGCTACACATCAGCACTGAACTCAGCCCTGAATGGCTTCAGAGGGAAGGATGAGCCTAAGAGAACCTTTGCAATTTGCACAAAGGGAAATCTGGAGGAACGTCACCGCGGTGGCATCGCTTTTCATTTCCATCAATGTAAAGGAGAAAAAGAATCTGGTTTCTTGAGTTCATATCAGGACACCAGATGAGCAAGCCTGGGCTTAAAAGTCCTACAGAACTGAAACGCCACAGACAAAGGCATTAAGAAACACTTATTGTGATGTTCTTCTTTCTGTTTACAAGTCCCCTTGTGGTCTTCTTAAATGGCCAGGGAACATTTTTAGCCACCCCCTCCAGGCTCCAGATTATGCCTCGGTTAGCAGATCATCTGGGCAGCTCTCTCTGTCTGTAACTCTATATGAATGACTTCAGTGACAAACAATACAACCATTCACTTTTTGTAAAAAAACAACCACTGCCACCAAATGTTTCCAATTTAAATATTTCTGGTTCTCTAGCTACTGGTTCCAATTTGGTATCAGCTACTGTCAGCCGTAAATCCCAATGAATTTTGAAGTCACGATCTTGAATTGAGTTCTGCAAATGCAGAATTAAGAAGGAGAAATTAGTATCTCCAAGTAGGAAGTTTAGACAAAGAACCCATCACATCCATATTACAGAATTGTGGGTTACAGAAGCTCTTGCATGGGTACTGCCATTTAACAGTGGTTAATCATCACATGCTCCAGAAACTATGCATTCCTTGGGAAAGAAACAATATAGAGTATCTGAGAATGAAATCCTGGCATGGGACTGCCTATCCCATTTTCTTGCCATCAAAATAGGGTGACTTCATCAAAACTGCCTATTTCAACTCATCCCTGGTCTGTCCTAACTCCCCAAATGCACCTGGGAATTGCTTGCCAGAGTATGAGCCGGTCTCATCAAAAGCAATGCAAGGGACCCAAGGAACATTCTAATGATTTACTGATATAGATACACATATATAAATGTATTTATATACACATAATGAACAAGTGTTGGGGCCTGGGATATTCCCTGTCAGTGTTTATTTTACCAGGGCCACCTCAGGATTCACCTGTTCCTGTGTGTGATTTCCTAAAGTGACATTTTCACACAAGCTGAGCGCAGGGGGCAGTGGGTTTCTTGCACACTTCTCACTGTCTGCAGCGTGTTAAAAACACACATCAGGGCAGCCCGTTACAGTGATGTAAAAATCCCTGAGCTGAGCTGGCTTCACATGTAGGCTGAAGCTCTGAGCCAGTTTTTACTTTATTCAAATCCATTCTGCCCATCCCTAATCTAAATGAGCTCAGTCATTAGCCTCTAAATCTTTATTTCTCTGTGCCAATATTGGCCCCAATTCAGCAAGGCACTTAAATATGTGCTTAACTTCAAAAGCACGGTTAAGTCCCACTGATAGATTTGACTACAGGGGGATGTAAGCAAATAGCTAAGGGCTTTGCTAAATTGGGGTCTTAGTCACACAATCCTAGAAACATTTGTATTTTAACATGTTTATAGAGAATTACAACAATTAAGTGGAACTCTTCCTTCCTCACATAAAAACAATCCAGGACTTCCTCTTCTGAAAAGCTTACAGCAGCCAAACTCTTCTCCTAACCCTGGGGTCAAGCACTTTTCAAAGAACTCATCTCAACATAGTGTCCCAATTATTTGTTTCCTTTGTGATAGCTCTGGTGCGTACACACGCAGAGGTGACCATAAAAGCTCCCGGTATAGACTTTTTGTGAGAAGAGCCGCAGCATTATCTATCATACACAGGAAAAACTTCCTTTTCCACAGTCCAAGCCAGCCTGGGCTGCAGGTCTGAAGTGGACTTTGGTGGTGTTCTATGCCACCATACACACAGTATATACAGAGGTAACCTTCTGAGGGTGCTTCCAAAGGATCTATCTTTACAGTGGGTTCATCTTCTCCTCTCTAGAGGTTCCCCTAAAGGCAAAAGCAGGTTCTCTCTCTCTAATCCAAAGATACATGCACCATATTGAAAAGCAAAACTGCTACCCATGTTCCTTGTTGTAGGAATAAAAAAAGTATCAACTGCAAAGGTGGCAATGAGCGTATCTTCAGTTTTCAGCTAAAACATGTTGGCCACCTTCTACTAACACGAACTCTCAGAAAACATCTACCCAAATCCTTGGGGCTTGATGGGGCCTGATGAACCTGTGCTGACTGTGCCACTGGAAGAAGCATTAGCCCTTTCCTCTTAGGTGTTTGCCTTCAGATCTGGCCCATGAAAGTGAGCAAAAGAGTAGCATCACCCATGGTCCCTTCAGCAACCTCACTGCCATACCATTGGGCTCAACTCCAATAACAAACACAAAAAAAACCTAATTCAAACCAAAAAGGTGTCAGGAATGTGGATAAAACCAGTGATTTACAGAAAACACTTGATCCAACCCCAGGTGAGCTGTGGGGGAAGGAGAAGCACGCGCCAGCATGTCCCCTCTGCTGTCCCCACCACTGGGAGGGCAACGTTCTCCCTGGGGACCGGCTCTGCCTTCAGCCTGTCTGTCCCCCGTGGTGTGAGATACTCCTGCCCGGGGGGGTCCATGCTGAACCCATGAAGGTCTGGCAGCTCCTTCACCCACCCAGGCTGGGAGCAGAGCTGTGTGCCCGGCCATCAGCAGCCCCACGGGTCTCCCTGCCACAGCCTCTCCAGGCGAACAAAGAAAACCCATCGCCTTCCACTTTAATAAAAGCCAAATGATGCCGTTTGCCAATTACCAAAATGGGGCGAAGGTTAAAAACCCATTGAATTATAACACATGTCACGGACCAAAGCTTCTATGATTAACAGTTCTGTGAGAAATTCATTAATTTCACCAGAAGCGAGCTGACAGAGATTGCGCTTAATGACAGAACGCAGGGCAGGGGAAAGGCAGCTGAATTGGGAAAGAGAAAGCTGCATTAAATCACAAAAAAAAAAAAAAAAAAAAAAACATCTGTTTCTCTCTCACTGGCTATATTTGTTAGTATTTCCTCAAGCAGCATGTTGTATTGCCCTTACTGTGCTGGAGGAAAAGGGCAGAGATTGATCATTTTACAGGACAGGGAAACGTTTATTTTGGGCTGGAGTAGAGTGCATTTCCTCGCTTCCTGCCCAGTGTTATAGAAAAAAAACTTCTCCAGGAAAAAAAAAAAAAAAAAAAAAAAAAAGAGACGAGGAGACCCTTTTTTCCGCCCCCTCCCTTATAAAAAAAGAAAAAAAATAACCGGTGTTAGAAAGGGTGGTTGCATTTGTTGTGCTGCTGGAGATTTATCTTCATCATTTCTCATGGGGGAAGCTGACAGCAGGAGAGAACAAGACAAAGAGAAGAGCTGGATGGGCTGTGTCTCCCTGGGGCTTGTTTGGGGCAGCAAAGGGTGACACCCGGAGGATGGCTCTCCACAGAGACCAGGGCGAGGACAGGAGGTGGCATCTTGGCCAGGAGTGGGGCTTGGTCTACGGTGCTGGTCCCCCTGGCTATCAAATGGCCAGATGTGCACACTTATTGAGGAAGGTAAACCCAAAACCTCCAATGCAGAAGCAATTTTGCAGCCCCAACAATTAATTTGTGCCAAGATTTAAGCAAACAAAGAAAAGGAAAAACCTTTTAGCTGCACTAACTTGAAAGCACAAGGTGGGACGCGCACACTGGAGAGACTGGGCAGCTCCAGGGGAGGGGAGGCTTATCTTCATCGTAAACATGGAGCTAATGGAGGATAAGAAAGCTGGAAACTCCTGAAATCCACAATTCTGACAGTTGGATTGGGGTATCTACCTGGCTTTTCACATCTCCCACCTGCAGCCTCCAGGAGAAGAGCAAATGGCACCAGGCAGGATGGAGGAGGGGACGGGTCTCGGGAATGCAGCAGGGAAAGCAGCCCTTCCCAAGGACCACCCTGCCAGGGATGGAGACCCTCAGCTGATGTCTCCTACCTGGTGAAAAAGACAAAAACCTGTTTTCTGAGGAATTGCTGTCAAAGGCAGCCCCAAAGCACCAGGCTTTCTTTGCTGCAGGGTGGGAAATTAAACCTCTGCATCCGCACACCCAACTCCACCGTCCACTCTACGAGGCTAAATAATAATAAAAGTATAATAATTTGAGCCATAAAGAGCAAGAGAAGAACTAACTGGGCCATTAAAACTGTCTAAGGATGCAATGTGAAAATGAAGTGTGCCGTTTTTACAGCACATCTCCACAGCGAGGTAAACTTCTGCTGAAAACAGAAAAGAGCCTGTGGTTCTGCTGCTGCAGAAAAAACAACAACTGGAAAAACACAAACGGAAAGTACAGAAGGTTTTGTGTTTTGTTTTGTTTTTTCAAACCCTCTATAAACGTCTTCAGAAGGATGGAATGGATTTTCAAAAGAGCCAACGATGACTGAGGACAACTACCTATAAAAGCTCAATGGGATTTTTTCTCTTCTGAAATATTAACTGTAATACATGTTTTACGAAAGAAGAGTGAGCACATGTTTTATTTTCAGTTATTAAGTTGTCACTAACCCATGGGAGTGATCCATTCACCCTCAAAATAAAAGCTGTGTTCACTTTTAAGGGCCAATATATTTCTTTTCCCTCACATATTTAAAATCTGCACCCTTGCCTAGAAGTGCCTGTATCTGGCTGTAAATCCTCTCCAAACAAAATAATTCTCCTTAAAGAGAGAGAAATAATATCTCTTGTAGAAGGAAGCCAAAAAGCAGGCAAAAATATCCCTGTTTACCTAAGGAAAATGAAAGAGGTACAGTTGATGGTTACATGTAGGAAGGAAAGTTCCTTCAAAAATGAAATAAAGATTTAAAAAATCATATTAGTCAAATGCAACCAGTGGGGAAAGAGGAGAAGGGAAGGATAGACAGTGTGGGACTGCTGCCCAAAGGGGTCTGATGGGGAGACCAGGAGCAGGAGAGGCAGAAAACCCACATCCAGCTTCTGAGCTGGTTAAGAATAAATTTCCCCCCCCCCCCCGCCTTTCTATGCTCTTCCTGGATTGGGTAAAATTACAAAGAAAAATGATGGCAGGGGACAGCAATGGCATCACCTACTTCCTGACTGCACAACTTTCTCTACATCTTGGACACCTGAACACTTAGAGTTTCTTGTACAGAAGAAGAAAGTCTACGTGGTCACCCAAAATGATCCCACCACGAGGCAAATGGGGAGATTTTCCACGATGGCACTATCATCAATGGAAAAAATCCCCCTGATTTCAACTGGCTTTGCATCAGGGCTTTATTTCAGAGAGTTGCTGGTCCCTTGACTGACATGGGAAACTTTATGATCAATCCAGCGTTGTAACCTGCAAGACCTAAAACGTTCCTTTGAACGACCGAGGCTCGGGCGGAAGTTTTTGAGAGCAAGGGGCTGAGATGGTTCAGTGCATCACGAAAACAATGCAAAAAGAAAAAAAAAAAAACAAAAAACGAGGAGAAAAAGAAGAGGCAAGCGGCGGGTGATTCTTCTTCAAGAGATTTCTAAAGGTTACTTTGCTGGGCTGCAGAGGCTTCACTGAAGCTTTGCCTAAGGGGAATGCATTTTTTATTAAGGAAATAACTTTCTAAACACGGAGCACTTCTAATTTCATAAGTGAACAAATGGTTCAGTTCCTACTGAAAACTTGAGAGGGAGGAATGTGGTCCTGTGCCTCAGCCCTCTCGAGCTCCCCGTTGCTTCTCACCATCTCCTTCCAGTGGGTCTTTCTCGCTCTTTTTCTGTCCCCGCTTCTGCACTGGGATTTGGCCAAACTTCCACAACTAAACTTCTCATCTGAAACTCGATCCGGCTGTCTTTGGGCCTCCGCATTTATACAACCTATTGCACAGAACGATCAGACTCCTTGAATCTAGGTCAGAACACACTGACTGGATTGATTTAGCTATAGATATACTCCTTTCTTTTTTTTTTTGCTTTTTTTCTCTTTTTAATTTTATTTTTCCCTTCCCTCTCCCCCTTTCTCAGCCTCCCGCCTTTCCTGGAATAAAAGCAGGTCCTCAAAACAAGCCAGGACATTATCAAAACCCCTGACAGCTCGCTTAGGAGGCTGAGCAGAGGTTTGCTGGGATATGCAACTTGTTTTACTATTGCCGCCGCTATGGTATGACGACTGCTCACAACTTTGAATTCACAAAAGGAAAAGAAAAAAAAAAAAAACAAAACCCATGATTCTTTCAGGGGTTTTGCTAAATTCTCCCCTCTTCTTTTCACTGCCTCACTGAAAGGATCCGTGAAGCTGCCGCACCAGAGGCCACGAAAGGTCACAATCTCTGTGGGATGCTGTAAAGCAGAGACTGAGAGGGGTTGGTGGTGATCTATTGATGTGTCTGTAATAACAACAAGAATAAAACGGTAGCCATAAACCTTTCATCCTGGGGGGTCCCACAGAGCTTTTCAGAAGGCGGGCCGGATCCGGAGAGGTACTGAGGGCCCTTACCCCGCCACAAAAACACCGGGAATGCCGGTGGCCGAGCTCGGGGCCGAGCACCTTGCTGGATCTGGCCCTGCTGGGGCACAAGCATCACTTTGTCTCCGCGCGACCGCGTCCGTGGGAGGTCCCTGTAGCACTTTAACAGCACAAAGCGGGTGAGATTGAAGCCGGTGCGTGAGCGGCAAAAACGATGCTGTACTGGGGAATGTGTGGAGAGTTACCCGGCCCCAATTCCAGGCTTGGAATAAAGGAGGGAGGAGAAAGGAAGAGGAAATAATTCACTAACGGTATCCCATGCGGGTTAAATGTCCCATCCATCCTGATCAATGAGAACACTGCCGGTTTTTTAGCGGCGACACAAAAGGGTCAGCAGGGTTCAGCCCCCGTGCCCCCCCTGGCCCCCCGGCGCAGGGGAGGTGGGTGGCGAGGCCGAAGGCAGCAGGCTGAGAGGCTCACCTCTGCTCCGCCGGGCTGTAGGTCTGTCCTCGCTGGCAGCTGCTGATGGTGATGGGGTCGAAGTTGTGGAAGGAACGCAGGGCCACCCCGGAGATGGCCACAAACTGGGAGCTGAAGCTAATGAGGACGGCCTGGGTGTGATAAAAAGGGTGACTGAGGTCATGGATGACGGGGATAATCAGGGGATTGTTCCTGCAGCTCAGGACGTGGACACCTGCCAGAGGAGAGACAAGATCAGAGGAAGGGTCAGACTTAACACAATCGCTTCCCCGAGCCCTGGGCACTTCAGAAGCATTTCACCCATAGGAATGGCCCTATAGAGCTGAAAAGTTATGGTAAGCTGCCTGGAGGGGCTTCCCAAATCGCTCCGGAGAGCTTAGCAGAGAAGTATATCCCTCTGGACAGCTGAAGAAAGGCTGCCATTCTCTCGGCGAGCGCGGCAGGCTCTCAGAGCAGTTTCTTTAGTCCAGGGCTACGTTCCTATTGTGCTCTGCTAAATCAGGAGCAACCATCACGGAGGAAGCGGAGTCGCACTATTGTAAAAACCGGTCTGAGAGGACAGTTGGAGCCTTTATACCGCGCATCAAACGGTGCCGGCAGGCTGGGTGGCTTTGTGCACCACGGGCAGGGCACCAGTGGCTTGTTTGGAGCCGTGCATGTCATTAGCACTCAGCTTAAAAACTTTTTTTTGCATGAGCTTTACTCTAATGTGCCCAGTTTTGATGGTTTTTTGATGGTTTTCAGCCTCAGGGTGTCTTGCTCTGTGCTAAAAAAGGCAAAGATGGTCCTGGAGAGAGAAACAAGGGTGATGGACTCACTGAGGAATTTAGAGGTGATCTCATTTTAGAGGTGATCATGCTATAGAGGAAGGAAATAATTGTGTCTTGGGAAAATAAAAGTGTCTCAAGAGGTTGAGGTGCACAGAAGCACCAGGGAGGTGGCAAGGAGACTTCTTAATCCCTTTTCTTCATCCGAGAAGGCACTCGGTGACAGTTGGGAAGAAATTCCCACCTTCGAGTAGAGGCAACCTGAATTCAAATGGGCCAAATCCATCTCAGAGGCAACACAGAGGACAGACAGCTGTCGGCTGGCCTCAAAAGTCATTAATTGAGATTCCCAGCCCGAGGGCTGCCTGCGAAGCCCTGCCTCCCCGGCTCCGTGGCATCGCTCCGAGGATCAGCTTGGCTCCCGCTCCATTCGCTTCACTGGAGCTCCCCCAGCATCGGCTTTGGCCCAGGCCCTTTGGCTACCCTGATACACTTACGAATTTGAAAATAAAATAAATTCTATTTGCATGTTTAACTGGCTCAGGGCTTTCTTTTTTTTTTTTTTGTCTAGTTCAGGTTTCTTGACTCAAAAGGGAAGGAATAAAAAAGTTTTCATTTTCCTCCTTAGAAAGTGATTTCCTGTGAATTAAGACAGACTTCTGACCACTCTCTTTAAACATCTATCTCCCACCCTCTACTTTAAAAAAACCTTCCTGTAATAAAAAAAAAATATAAAAAAATAAAAAAGCAAACCTCTTTTTGTTTTGGTCTCTACCTGACCCTGAAATAACCTCCCTGTCTACTCGCCTCCCACAGGTCTTTTGATATCAGCTCCTTGTGGAACGGTGCACGTTTCTCACTTACAAACAGGTGTTGGGCTAGGGCTTTTTTTTTTTTTTTTTTGTCTAGTTCAGGTTTCTTGACTCAAAAGGGAAGGAATAAAAAAGTTTTCATTTTCCTCCTTAGAAAGTGATTTCCTGTGAATTAAGACAGACTTCTGACCACTCTCTTTAAACATCTATCTCCCACCCTCTACTTTAAAAAAACCTTCCTGTAATAAAAAAAAAATATAAAAAAATAAAAAAGCAAACCTCTTTTTGTTTTGGTCTCTACCTGACCCTGAAATAACCTCCCTGTCTACTCGCCTCCCACAGGTCTTTTGATATCAGCTCCTTGTGGAACGGTGCACGTTTCTCACTTACAAACAGGTGCAGTTAATACTCGAAATCCCGGGTTCCCAAATTCCTTGGAAGTTTCTGCCTTCTCTGATGGAAAGCCAAGAAAGACCTTATGGTATGAGGCTGTTTATTCACTTCAATTTCATTTCTCGCACTCAGGTGGTGTCCACAACAAAACAGACCCTCGGCTCTGTGCTGCAGTTGCTGGTGCTTTCTGCCCCAGACAGGGTAAATGGGGGCTGAACAGGTCAGGTTCCTTTAATTAACCTGCCTTCATTAGCAAAAAACACTCAAGATAGTACAGGTGCTCATGGCAGGGCAGTCAGAGCTGTCTCTGTGCTTGCCCCTCTTTCCGTAGCCCCGTGTCCACCTACTCAACCCTCAATGGCTCTTGAAAAGTACCCAGCACCATAACCCCAAGGTCTACATCCCAACCTCTCCAACTCCAACCGAGACTCGGAAGAAGCTTCTCATCACCTTCTGGGAGTCCCCACGGTAAAAACTTGCTCTAATCAAGGTGGGAAAGCACACTTCTGGACAGACAGCATTTTGCTCATGGGAGTGTCTGTAGCACACCGAGGACTGATCAAGCCCTAAATTAGTATTAAATTATTGCTACTTGCTTTTGGATGTACTTTTTGTTTGCCACTGACTTCTGCTTAAGGCTGGCTGACCGTCTGCAGTCAGTCCTGCACCCAGTGTGTGCCAAAGTCTGCATCTCAGCTGCAGTTTCTGTCTTGCCATGGTGATAATTCAAACACATCCAATACAATATCCAGGAAAAGGACTTAATGCCGCACCCAGAACTCAGACGAAACAGCGACTGGGAGCTCTGCCTGAGAGAGAACTGCTGGTAGCCTACCTACACCTCTCCTCTGCTCCAGGCCAGCCTCTTCTGAAAAGGTCAGAGGGGCTTTTCCATGATGAAGGCAGCCTTTCAGCCGTGAAGATCTCCAGGCATCAGGCTGAGCCGTGCCAAACTCGTGTTGCAACTTCATCGAGGATTGCAAAACCTAACCCTCAGTTTCCTCTTTGCTCCTCTTTCTTGTTCTCTTTCTCTCACAATCTGTCTGTCTGTCTCTATAAAATGTCACATTAAGTATTTGTTGGCATGTCTGTGTCTCCATCATTTATTTCTCAGAGGGAAAGAGCTATGTGCCACTGTTTTGCGAAAGGAGAAGGATAAAACTAATCCAGGGGCTCTGGCAAACTGGGAGCGATCCTGACTCAACCTGCACAACTTGCTAGGAATTTCGGTTTGTTCTCGGACGACAGACACCACACACACTGTCTTTCTTTTCCTCCACACCCCACCAAATTATGTATTATCCCAGACAGTCATCCAGCACTTGCCACTTGCGTGCGTCCCTTCTCCTTCTCATCACTAGCAGCAAGTTCACTTGGGTTTCAGCTTGTCAAAATTGCAAAGCTATGGTAAAACAGAAACCCCAGGGAAGGGGGTTATGCTTCCTTCAAAACTGCTCTCGGGGCAACACGACCAGCCTTCTTCCCAGTGGAAAAAAGGGCAGGGGACAGCTGGAAAGGGATTATGCAAGTCCTACCCTGACACGGAGTTGTGAGATTTGAGGTCCTGGAGTTTAAATGCAGCCAGCATCGATTCACCAGGGACAACCTTCCCACGTTCAAGAACCTGGGAAAGCCCAGGGCAGAGGCAGAAATGGTCCCTCCTGTCACTGCAGCACAAGTAGCAGGTCCATGGCCTCTGGCAGGCACGTCTGCTCGAGGCCAGGCAAGCAGCCCACAAAGGCTGCTAGACCTTCATCAAACATGAAATACTTTGCATGAAAGAATTTTAGCCATGAAATAGCTGTGGAAACCTCCCTGCAAGCAGGGCTAGGGATCTGGCCAACTACATCTTGTGAGGTCCCTCTCTCCTCTCCCTGCTCCCAGCGGTTCACCTGTAGCACTGTCAATGTCTCTCCAGGGAGGTGCTGTGCGTGGAGCACTCAAACAGTGCTGATTTGAATGACTAAAGAGGAACTAGTCACTTCTGAACACAGACTGAACAGGTATGAAGAAATGTCTGTATAAAATGATGGATTGTTTCCAAGAAAGTCTAGTGAAACTCAAGTCTTGGAGGATTAAGCAAGCACTTTTTTGTGTCTGATCCTGGAAAAACTGAGCAGGAGTACTGGTCAGTTTGTGAATGGGGGTAACCAACAGATTAAATGAGCAATAAAGAGGCAGTTGAATAAAATACAGTCTTACCAAGATCATGGCTTTGCTCTTTGGTGTCAAACAGCTGCACACCGATGGTCTCCTGCTTCTGATCCAGGTAATAGGTCCCATCAGTGACCAAGTGAACCAGGACTGCTGCAGCCACCATAGGCTGGGAAAAATAAGCCTGGGAAAACAAAAGCCACACAAGGGCTGAGGTGGAGAACTGTGGTGGGCTTTAAAAAAACCCCAAGAGTCAGTCCAGAACTTTTAAAATAACAATTCCCATCCCGGGTCACACAGAAGTCTTCTCTTCCAATCTCTCCTACACAAACTAGATAAACTCGGGTCAAACAGCCCTGCAGCTGGAGGCTGTGACCTCTCAGAAATTCAATAGCCTGGTCACAGGAGGGGACTTCACCACGGACTCTTTAGACAGTGCTCAGAGGCTTTGTTTTGCTATTTTGCACTAACCATTCTTCAAAGAAAGGAGCAGCTTGGCCCGGGGAAGGCTGTCCCATAATATTTTGCCCGTTGGAGAAACTTTGTACAGACAGGCAAAGAGGAGGCTTCTGAATGACATGTGGACATCCTACCTTGAGCCAGAAAACGGTCTGTGTCATGGGGGAGTACTGGAAGTTGGCCGTGCAGGGATGCCAGGCGTACTGAGAGACATCCTCGTTCAACTCAATCACCTTAGTTCGACACATCTGTGGGAGAGAAAAGAAACACCAAAACAGACGTAGATGACAGTAGGGAAGGACTGTGACTGTTTAAAGTGGGAGAAAAAAAGTCCAGGTGCACTGCTAGAATAAAATAATACACAATAATGACGTTTCTAGACACCATGGCGTTATTCAAAAGTTCAGTTTCCACCTCAGTAGGAAAAGTTGAAACATGAAAAGGAGCTAAAGACGCACAGCAGCTGGAGGGCAGCCAACAGTTCCCTCTTAATTTGGTACGTGGTCTCTGATGGTGTTCAGAACAACTCTGCTCCCACCCAAATGGACCAACGACTCTTCCCACTGGAGGGAAAGTGAGGATCGGTTCTGAACGCACCAGCTCAGGGCACAGCCAGGTGCTCTCCACAGTGCCCAGGCAATGGCCTATTTAAGCCGTAACCCCAGGGAAGCCACAGATGGCCACGTAAACCTGGAAGCGAGTGGAGCCAGGAAAGGCCTCTCTCTACAGCCCAGTTTAAGCAGACTAGTTTCTTCTTTTGTTGACTAGTTTCTGCAAGCGGAATCACCTTCTCCCGGCACCCACAGCACCTTCCATGGCAGGCAGCAGTGGGACCACGAGCAAACTGCTCTTTTCAATAAAGAACAAGGAGATGGATCCCAAGTGCGGGCGATGGATGAAAAGCTCAAAGAAGAAAATGCCTGATTTTAAGTACCAGAGAGCCTTGCAGTGCCATCAGTATATAAGATGTGAAAATGAAGCTGCAAGAAATGGTAGGATTTACCCTGAAAGCACACTGCTCCATGGAGCTGCTTCAAAAAAGAACCATGTATGACCATAGTCTTCATTCCCACAACAAGCAGGAGAAAGGAACTGCCCACCACACAAAAGGTTACAACTGCCTTACAAGGATGCTTCCAGCTGAGGCTCTTGGGGCACCCAAAGGTACCTGCTAAAGTTCACAAGACTTTGGTGAACTCAGTGACTGTCATTACCAGAGACAGGGAGATAAAGGGAATTCCTTGTGGTCACACAGTATAGCAGCAACAGAGCTACGAATGTAACCCAAGAGGCCAAACCATCCCCAGGAGTTGTGCTAGCCACGGGGAGCCTAGGACTGGTCACACAGGCCACCTGTGCTAGGTGCCACCTGGAGCTCTGTACTCTTGGGGTCAGCATTAGATTCCCTTCCAAGATCAGAGCCCGGACTGAGCAATCAGGTGGTGATGTGCTGTCAGTAAAGCTGTTCTCTTAAACAATTTCCCTGATTATTAAAACAAAAAAAGAAAGCCCTGAAGTGAAACAAGAGAATTAACAGAGATGTTTTTAACCATTCAAAATCCTGTGCCCGCTCGGTAATTCTGCACGGAACTGCCCTCTGGGTCTCGGCAGACAAAGTCTGGGCAATGCAAGGAGAGCCCGGGATGCCTGGGAAGGAGAAACCAGATTGGCTAGAAGTGAGGTAATCACCTCTATAATCTGAGTCCCTCAAGATCCAGCACAGAGGAATCCGTGGGCAAAACATAAATCAGCTTTAATGGGCTGGAAGAAGATTTTTAGTTTATTTATTTTTTAAAACAACTGGGACCAAGCTTCATTGAGGCTAGCCAGTGGATAGTGTTACATTTTACAGCAGAGCAAGGCTTTACATAAACTATCTTTGGCATTTGAAATCCAGGCCAGCAATTCGACATGTACCATTTCGCAATTCTCCCTTCTTGCATTTTCAGCAGCCTGTCTCTTCTTGGGAGCATGGTTTTTATTTTAATACCTCTCCAACTAGGGAATTTATCTTAGCCACATCTGCAATTTATATGGTCAGAGAGCTCTTTGACATGAACAAAGGTCTCGTTACTTTTATATGATTTTGTTCTTCTTCTTCTTCTATCTCCTCCTGCTCTATTGGTCCAAAAAGGTGGTTAAAAGAAACAAAAGTACTGACGTTCGGTGCATTTTAAGTGGCACATAATGGCTGAGTGAAAACCTGTATTAAGAAATCACCCAGACCTTCACCAAAAGTTTGAATCCAACCCAAAATAAACTCCTGCTGAGGTGGGTTGGAAATCTCTGATAACTTTTAAATGCCTTGTTTGATTTGTGCGTGTGTGTGACCTCTGGCGCTTTCTGCTTCTGTCTGAGAATATCAGCAAAAATCTTCATCTTGCATAAAGAGCCTGTGTTCGAGACATTCAGCTGAGGTGTGCAGCCTTGGTAGATTGGTCTGGGTTGAGCAGGTCAGATAAACCTCCTCCTGCTGAGGCTGATCCACTGCTACCACACGCGTGTTCCAAAGTGGTACTGGGGTAAAAAGTTCCTTTAGGAGAAGAATATAATAGAGAAGTGTGGGAAAAGTCTAAGAGACACAACATTAGGAGTGGCCACAAGAGCCTCTTCTACACTAGCTGCTATCTAGTAAACTCAGCTAATGGCAAAAAGGTTCTTTAAGATTTTGTAATAACAATCTGATTGGAGAAACAGTCCCATCACCTACAGACCCCACCGTCTCAATAGGCTCTAACACACGTGGTAAATACATCCCCTTTTCAATTCCACCTCGTTACCGAGTTTCACACCACAACTGCACAGTCAGAGAATCATTTGCTGGAAGAGCCTTTCACATCTCTGCTTTCAAGGCATCTCAAGAAGATGCCAGCAGCTTGAAAGCACTTTGTTACTGCAGTGCCACCACTTTTAAGCTCCAAGTTCCAACGGCCTGGAAGGACAGAGCATCATCTCTCCTCAAGTCTACAAATTCATAGGAATTCGCGCTTAGGAGAAATAAATTATTTCCTAAGATCCTCCAGTTTGCTACAGTGATGCAAAGCAGCAGCTAAAGCACCTGACAGCTGTGGAGGAAAGAAGGGATAGATGTACTTTTCATTTCAGGGTGTTACCAGACTCTAAAATATTTGCTTTGAAGAATGACGCCATCACGCAGGACTCAAAACTTCACTCACTGGGGCTCATCCAGGTTCTCAGACCCACACAGCAACTGGGATCCACAGGAGCTTAGTATCTGCTCCAAAGTATTTGGGGACTATTTGTGTCTACTTACTGGAAGCCCATGTCATACCCCTCCCTAGGAAGCTGCTTTCAATTAAAAGAGCTGATGTCTGTTCCTCTCGGAGGTTCTAATCCAGCTCGTCTCCCACCCACACACTTTGTACACAAACATCGAGAGACAGAACGAACAAGGCCAGAGAGCACTGTGGGATCTTCCCACAGGAGGGAATGCCTGGAGGATTCCCTTTGACTGATTTATACAACCTCCTGTCAATCACAGGGACAACATGTTCTTCAAACCGCCTCTCCTGTTTTCCTCCTCTTACTTGAGGGGACCGAGGAATGTGTCAGCCGAAAGGGAAAAGTGATATATCGGGAGCTCGTAGTTCATTGCCACATCTAAAACGCATCTACTATCGCAATCAGCTCCATTTCCTCATCATGTTTTCCTTCAAAGTAATATGGGAAAATTTGCTGAAGAGCAAATTTTGGAAGGCACCCTTGTGAACGATTCCCAGCCGGCCCATGACTTCAGGCCGTGTTGTGTTGTGTTGATGGGCTCCTGTTCCAAACCAACTACAGATTAAGGGTCACTGGTCCTGTGGACTGGGCACTGACCTGACTGTGCCCAGGGCATGGCCCCATTGCGACCTCCAGGGCAGCACCGAGCTTCTCCAGGGCTGAGGGCATGGAGGGCATCCTTGTCTGGAAGACAAAGATGATATTCCCCCACATCACATGGGTAGCTTGAGGGTAAAAGCCATTGGCCACAAAAAGGTGCTGGGATGTTACCAAGAGAAGGGTACACATGTGAAGTAGTGGGTTAAACACAAACAGATGCCACCCCACTCTGGTCCTTACCATCCAGCAAGCAAAGCCAGACACCACAGGCTTTACATAAAATCACAGACAGAATGCTGGGGGGTTGGAAGGGACCTCTGGAGATCATCCAGTCCAACCCCTCTGCCAAAGCAGGTCCACCTAGAGCAGGTCCCACAGGAACATGTCCAGGCGGGATTTGAATGTCTCCAGAGAAGGAGACTCCACCACCTCTCTGGGCAGCCTCTTCCAGGACTCTGCCACCCTCAAAGGAAAGAAGTTCCTCCTCATTTTTAGATGGAACTTCTTATGTCCGAGTTTGTGCCCATTTCCTCTTGTCCTGTCCCTGGGCACCACTGAAAAAAGCCTGGCCCCATCCTCCTGACACCCACCCTTTAAGTATTCATAAGCATTGATCAGATCCCCCCTCAGCCTTCTCTTCTCCAGACTAAATAGAGAACTAAACTTGAAGTTCCTCAGCCTTTCCTCATCAGAGAGACGTTCTAGTCCCCTCATCATCTTTGTAGCCCTTTGCAGTACCCTCTCCAGCAGTTCCCTGTGCTGGTGGTTCTCATCTCTCATATTGTGAGATCAAAATAATTCTAACTGCAGACAGGAGAAGCTGCCATTTAAGCAAGGATGCTGCCTGCTCAGCCCTGGCACACGGCTGACGGTGGCTGGAGTGGACGTGCCTGTCTGGATGCCCACGGGTGGCCGTAAACAGAGCAAATCTCCTGTGCACAGATCTGTCTGCTCCCCAAATCCCATCTGTTCTATTCTCCCAAGGTGGGGCTTCCTCCAGACCAAGCCAAGTACAGCTTCGAAGGGCCACCACATCATGAGCGCTTGTCCATCAGGCAGTTGGGAGCAACCTCCTCCACGAGGAGAAGGGTGGAAGTGGTTATCGTACCCAAGGTGCGAGGATCTCCACCGGGGACTGTGCTGCTGCCACCTGAGCACCGAGACAGACAACATGGTGGCTTTCTGGGATGAAACAGGCCAAACCCTGTCCCGTTTGCAAAACAGCAACCACAGAACAAGCAGAAACAGGCTCTGATGGTAAAACCCCCAGTACCATCTCCTTGGGGAGCACAGAACATCCCGAGCGAGGCTGTACAAGGACACAGGAACACTCATGGAATGATGTGAGACCCGGGGCGGCACAACCAGGACGTGTTCTGCTGTTTGAAGATCCAGCTAAAGAACA